GATCATCAGATATTGTCCAAGATTAACCTTCAGGGTGGATATAGCTCGCTAGCAGCCTCGCACCGAGGACCTACCCACGTCATCATTTACCCAGAATGCTTTGTGTGTAAATAAAATGGCTCCGTCCGTGTTAAAATATATTTTTAAAAATTTACAAAACTGAACATCCTACAGTATTTTTACAGTATTTATTTTACAGTTAAAATATATGTTTATCAAATAAAATCTAATGTTACAACTAATCGGGGATCCCTTTAAAAAAGCACGTCTTTCACACATTATGGAATGGGGGACTGTTCTCCTTAATAATAAATTACAAGCCATTGTTTCTGCATGTTGTATCAACATGTTTGTTTTGGTGCACTCACTGTAATGAATGGCTCAGTGGATGTTTACAAGTTATTCTACATGAAGTGAGTGTTATTTGATATGTTCTCCATATAACTGCTCTGGATGCACTGCACTGCTCTGCAGCCTGACCTCAAAGTGGGGAGGGGTGTACAGTTGCCTAATCTCTCCCAGGCCCTCCATGTGGGGTCAGTGAACTTCATCACTGCAGAGAGGGTGTCTGCTGGTGGGATGGGCTTCTTGAACCAATCACAGAGCTGCCTGAGTCACATACCACAACCAGCACTGTAAGCACTTCAGAAACATCTGATAAACTAGTTTCAAGGACAGGCTTAAAGTAAACAACATTGTAGTACATCACAGATCTGCAGAATTACTGGAAAAACAAAGAGTGGAAGAGCAACAGGCTTTCCCATCAATTAGTGTTGCATGACAGTCTGTGGATAATATCTACATTCTGGTCTTCCCAGTAAAAAATAAAAATAAAAATACCAGGAATAATGTCAAATATAGATGGTCATGTTTTTGTCTTCAAGTCATAAACATTGTAAATAAGCATCAAATAATGAAGTACATGCAGACAGTGTTTTATCCAGACATACATACAGTATGTAATATACTTGTAAAATTGCGTGTGTTTATGTTAACCTACTTTTTTTTTTACCAGGATGTTAAGCAATAGCTAAGGTGCAATATGTGATCAATAACATGCCAGTGAGCTTATGTCATAAAGACAAACGTTAAACTTCCTGAAAGGTTGGATGACTGTGAAACAACACCTTGACTCTGGCACACGTGTCAAACCCAAGGCCCACGGGCCAAATGTGGCCTGCCACCACCTTTTCTGTGGCCTCAAAGATGTATTAATGTCTTAAAATAAGTGTATGCTACAGCTCCTCTAATGTATGTAGATTATTTTTGCACCTATATCTGAAGGTGTACAGGGTTCACTTTGGATGTTATCAGTCCATTTAATGGACATTATCAGCGGTTATCACTCCCATAGAATGGCTTCAGACTGTCCTGACTGTACCCCCTAGTGGGTTATCAGTCCCATAGAATGGCTTCAGATTGTCAGCTGGTTAGTATGGAGCATAAAGCCACTAAGGTTGATTTTAGAGAAAATGACCTGGGCTAGGTTAAAGTAGACCAGAGTATAGCAGACTGCTGCCTCCAATGTATTAGTAGGTAACCAGTCTGAAGCCATTCTATGGGACTGATAACCGCTGATAATGTCCATTTAATGGACTGATAACATCCAAACCAGCTGTTCAAATGTAGCCGTCAGCTGGTCAAATTTGCTGTGTAAAAAAATCTCAAATTTAATGCAATTTCTACAGCTACTTTTGCTGCGGCCCAGTTGTACTGGGAAGTGGGAATTTACTCATCACAACTCAACAGTGAGCAAAACTCTCTTACTTTTATTTTCAGTAGCATTTCTGTACTATTTATTTCACATTTTGTCAGTCGTACATGTAGTACTTTTCAGTCTTTATAAGTGGATGTGTTAAAACACTGTTTCTATGCAGGAAATACCACGTAGAGCTCAGTTATTGTTTGTCAGGGGTGCTTAGCCATAGCAGTGAGATGGGGAACATGACGTTTCATGTTTAGCTGAAGATAAACATGAAACATCAACGTTAACTACCAGTGGCCCTTTGAGGGCCACCATGATGCTCATGTGGCCCTCAGTGAACGTGAGTTTGACACCTTTATTGCAGAATGTGCATACAATCAGTTACAATATTAAATGCAGATGCGTTCATTTTTAAACCAAATAAGGCAAGTGCTCTATGTTTTAGCATTTTACTTACTGGAATTGAGAAACTGTTTTGCACAAACTAGATCAATCTAGAATCATGCAACAAAAAATCCCCACCAAAAGATTTTTTTTTCAGAAGATGCGTTTGCTTGATTTCAAACATTAATGTAACATGAGCTATGGATGATACATCCTGAAAGGTCAAAGTGACTTTCATTAACAATTAACTTGAGGCAAATATAGTGGAAAAATAAGAGGAAGGAACTGTGTGAGTACACAAAGCCTTTGAATGACCCAAGTGTTCCTTTCTTACATAATAAGTTCACTGGCTGTGGAGTAACAAGCCTTAAGGAGATATGAACTAGAGATATACGAGGCACGTGGTGTTACAGCAATGGGCAAGTTCACAGACTTTATCTGTCGAAGCAGAACACAAGGACAGAATGTGAACTACACCTAGTGTTTCCATGTCTCACTCAGCAGTTTCTACATGTAGTCTTCCACTTTTTGTTATTGGTTGTTTTAGATGAGCTTTAAAAACATGTACACACTACAATTTGAGTTAACTCAAAGTAAGAACAATAAATCTACAGTACTTTACTCCTCTATACAGATAATTTAGGTTTATGTTTTTACCCAAGACCAGCTGTCAGTGGGGCTGCCATCGTCACTGTGGCTGCTGAAGTATCTCTCCTCCATGTGGGTCAAGGATCCATTTCACCACACGAACAAACTGTAGCTTAAATGTTAGAAGTCTCTGAACTTAGAAAGCTATCTAAATGAATCCTTGAGAATATTATAAAAAGCTTAAAAAATTAATAGTTGTTCAGTCAAAGATAGTAAACGTGTCAAATGTTTTCCTGAGATTTTTTCAGTTCTTCCAGGAGGTACAGTGAAGAATGCCTCCTCTCTCTAATCTTTACATCCGTTTGAAGCGAGCAGATACTGCTTGTGAGACATGAGCAAGTGTTTTACACTAAATTTATCAACAAGTGTCTTCTGGGAAGTAAGTTCTAGGAGGAAATCTGAGAGCTTCCCCGAGTTGCTGGACTTTCCTGCTGCTTCATGCGCAGATCTTGCAGAGGCAGTTCCATGAATGACCCAAGTGAAATCCCACATGAACACCTCACAAATGCAGTCTGTGGACAGCAGCACGACCCGTCAAATGATCAAAACCTGTGATAATCAGCTGTGCAACATGCCGTCAAACAACACACAGACAACACTTAAAATGTCTATACATTTATACAGTTGGAGTCATATAAAAGCATAAAACACCGGGAAACAGTCAAATTATGCTCCCCAGACTGGTACAAACATTATCAAACAGTCTATGGAGAATAGAAAAGGAAAACATTTTGCACCAATACAGATTTTCTTCAGCTACAATGAAAATAAGCACCTTCTTTTACATGATTGAAATATGAAAAAAACATAATTCAAAATACAGTTTTCTGTTCTGTAAAAACATGCAAAACAAACATCTACACACTCGACCCCGTAAGAAAGTACGCCACTAATTGGCTTACATTGCACACAAAAAAAATGTGTGTTTTCCCTTTTTATAAAAATATTGTGTTGCATGTACCTGTAGAGGCCTGAATACTCTGGTATACATTAAAGAAATCCAAGCAGATAAAAAATACTGATAACACATACAATGTTAAAAAGCAATACCTGAAGCTTTTATCTGGCAATTTATTTTCCAATTTTTTTTCTGCTGACATCTGTGCTTATTGTAAGTCTGTCTGTCAAGAACTGTACAAAACCATCCACTCCTGTGTTTCTAATTCAGGAATTTCTTTGTAACATAAGCATTTAAAAATATTCATACAGAGAAAAGAAATGTAAACTTTGTCTTTTTTTTCCTCTCGTCTCCAAATACCACAAGAGTTTGTCAATCACAGGTTATTATTAAAGGGATCCATGATAAGGTGTACCATTACACTTTATTTGATAAACATATATTTTAACTGTAAAATAAAGACTGTAAAAATACTGTAGGCTGTTTAGTTTTTGTGATTTTTAAACTAAAAGTTAAATATATATATTACACAGACAGGGCCATTTCTTTTACACACAAAACATTCTGGGTAAATGATGACGTGGATAGGTCATCGGTGCGAGGCTGCTAGCAAGCTATACCCATCCTGAAGGTTAATCTTGGACAATATCTGATGATCGACTTTTTTAAATGAAACCAGAGAGCGTTGACAGAGAGGAGAAGGTAGAAATGACTCAGCCTGGAACTGAAAATATGGATGGAGGACAACAGAGCTGCTTCTTGGAAGAAGAACCTCAGCTTAGCCTGTTAGCTTTAGCCCTGATGCGCTACACATTCTCCTCTCGTCACTGAGGTCCTCCATCCACATGACAGAGAGGGGAACACAAAAATGACTCAGCTACAACTGAAAATATGGATCCATATTTTCAGTT